AAAATATTTAAAATCATAATTCCTAATTTTATAAAATGTGAGCAAATTTCTTATGTAAAAAATTAAGGTCTAGCCAGGCGTGGTACCACACACCTTTAATCCCAGCACTTGGGAGGCAGAGGCAGGCAGATCTTTGTGAGTTCAAGGACAGCCTGGTCTACATAGCAAGTGCTAGGACAGCTGGGGCTTTAAAGAGACCTGTCTCAAAAAAAAAAAAAAATTAAGGTCTTTTCAGAAAGTTAAGATATATCTATTTTATTTTTAGCTTGTAAACATTCCTATTTATCAAGGACAATGACCTTGTATGATATTTCTATTATATGTACTTATCTGAAAAGGAAAAAAATCAGTAAAATATCAGCAAGGAATTTGGCTATGTTAGGTATTTTTCATAAACACATACATCCATACATGCACATGAAAAACTACTAGCGAAAACAGATTTTAATAGAAATTTCTAATCAGAAAATATAATTTCATAGTTCATAACATTATAGTTAAGGAAATATAGTTCAGAAGATGATATTTTAATATGTTCGTGACTTTTTAAAAAAAATGTTTTAAAGAGCGGGGCTGGAGAGATGGCTCAGCGGTTAAGAGCACTGACTACTCTTGCAGAGGACCCGGGTTTGATTCCCAGCACCACATGGCGGCTACAAACTGTCATTAACTCCAATTCCAGGGGAATCCAAAACCCTCTTCTGACCTCCATGGCATATGTTTTTAATCAGATAGGTTTTAGATTTTAAGTCATAGCCTGGACAGATGTCCTCAGTTGTTTTTTGAAGGAAGTATCTAGTACATTTGGAATTTATTTTTTTTAATTTTTAATTTATGGGGAATGAGTATACTTGATTTTGATCTTTTACATTTTATTACTTTAATTTTATATATGTATGAATGCAATGCTTGCATGTATATAAGTGCACTTGTGTTGTGCAAAGCCCAAGGAGACCAGCAAAGGGCATTGGATCCCCTGGAACTACAGTCACAGAAGGTTGTTAGCCACCATGTGGGTACTAGGAATCAAACCCAGGTCCTCTGCAAGAGCAGCCAGTGCTCTTAACTCCTGAGCCATCTCTCCAACCCATTTTTTTATTGTTTTGTTTTGGTTTTGTTGTTGTTTTGTTTTTTGGGTTTTGTTTGTTTGTTTGTTTTCCCTGACAGGATCTCCCAAGTCCCAGCCAGCGTGGAAGAAGTCACTGTGTGGACCAGGCTGGCCTCGAGAGATCCACCTGCCTCTGCTTCCTAATGGCTGAGATTAAAGGCATGCATCACCGTGCCCAGCATTGTTTTTCACTTTTTGAGATGAGGATCTGTGTTGTACAGACTGGCCTTGAACTGTACTCAGGTTATTCTTGTGTCTCAGTCTGCTGAGTAGCTAAGGCTACAGTGTGCACCACTATACCTAGCATACAATGATTTAATTTTTGGCAATAATGATAAATGTAAGAATAATTACCAAAAAATGGGACAATTCAAGGAAAACATCACTGTTTAAAACACTAACATTAAGATTAATAGATTAAGGGCCTGGGGAGGTGGCTCAGTGGTTAATAACACTGACTGTTCTTGCAGAAGACCTGGGTTTGGATCCCAGCACTCACATGGCAGCTAACAACTGCCCGAAACTCCAGTTCCAGGGGACCCGACAGCCTCTTCTGTCCTCCGCGGGCATTGTATGACATGGGTGCACTTACCTACACGCAGGCAATACACACACACACATAAAAATAATTTAAAAATATTTAAAAGATTAATAGATTAAAAATTGGGTGTGGTGGTATGAATTTATAATCTCAGCTCTTGGGAGGCTGAGGCAAGAGGATACAGAAAATTCCAGGCCATTCTGGAACACATAGAGAGACCATATTCCACCACCACCCCTCCAAAAAAAAAAAAAGTGCACCACTAATCTTAGGACTTGGGAGGTAGATGCAGGAGTATAAGAATTCAGGGTCATCTTCAGCTACGTGGAGAGTTCAGGGCTAGCCTGGAGCTAAATGAGGCTCTCAGAAACAAAGTTTTCTCAGGAAGGAATGTGAGAGCAGAGAGAGACAAGAACTTCATCCTGGCTGAATTATTGATTTGTTTATTTTGAGGAAATTTTGTAATAAAAATTGGGGCTGGATTACAGATACAGAATGTCATAGTAACAGTTAAGTGTATTTGGTGCTTCTGTGGCATTGCTATACAGTTGCCTCTATGTAAATTACTTCTGAATTTTCACAAAATTTGTGAGGTATCTTTATTACCACATTTTACGATAAGGAAAATAAAGCCCTGAACAGTTAAGTAACTGACCAAGGATGATGTATATTATATAGAGGAAAGGGAACTCTTTTAAAAGCCTGGGAAGAAATTTTCAGTCTCAGGAAGTCACTTTATGTTCTGAGCTGAAGACTGACGTCAGAGAGCTGTTTTAAGATTTCTCAGGCATAGGTACTGAGGATGAATTGAGAACGGTTAAGTTAGGAAATTTCACTAATAAAAAAGCTAAATGATACATACCTGAACTGTAGCCTAAATGAAATATTTATAGTCAGCTCGTTGGTGTTCAGAATGACAGAAAAAGCTTTGTTTCAAACCTGTGTGTCGTGGAAAGGGCCAATTAGGTCACTTACATTAACATGTTAAAGTCAATAATTTAGAATCCACAAAATAAGTATAGTAGCCATTTTTATAGATCCTTTTGAAATTCTGTCTTATTTGTATTAGTTATCAATTTCAAAATCTAGAGAAGCTGTATATTTTTAAGAATATGTAAATGTTTGTGGTTTTGTTTCTGTATTATTAATAACAAACCATGCCCAAAGTGTGGTTTTCCTTGTGTAACCATCAAGGCCCCAGTATGGAGGGACATGACTAAAAGCATCTCTTATGAAAGAACAGCAGCTAACAATAAGGCTGGGAATCAACAAGTAGGAATAAATGAGAATCAGAAGTGTACCGTTGAGGTATATCTTCAGTTCTTGGATTAATGATTAGGGTATTCATAGAAACCCAGTGTGAAGAATTCCATCAACAGGCTACTACTGACTCATAAAATATAATATCTGTTTATTTAAATGGGAAAAAATGTTACGTGCATTTTCTAGAATTGTTCAGAATAACTAGAGTGGCAGAAGCTTTTTTTTTTTTTTTTTTTTTTTTTTTTTTTTTTTTTTTTTTAAAAAAAAAAAAAAAAAAAAAAAAGAGGACGATAAATCTTTCACTGTGATATATCAAAATAA